TTCCCCACCATTCAGTCAGAGCTGAAGAAGCTTCTTGGATGAGAAGCGAAACATCTTCAAAGAAAAAACAAGACAGTCCAGTTGCCTCCTGAAAAAGCACATTTGGGACAGCCTAGATGACTGAGAATCTCTACAGACTTTCAGAACTGAAGGGTTTTTTTATCTCTCAGAGGTCTACTGGTAGGCCTCAACATATTACGATAACACAGCCTGCCCATTGCAGTTGTACGTCACGATAATCATAAAATGGGCCAGTCATATGACTGACCTATTTTTACGCCCCTTTATGCAGTGGCTGTAAAGCAAACACTGTAATTTTAAGCAAATGCTGTGGTCTTTAATCAAACGCTTAGGTCAATAAGCAAACACTGCAGCTGTTAAGCAAATGCTGCAATCTTTAAGTGAACGCCATGTTCATTAAGTGAATTAACTGTTAATATAGCTGTATTATTCAGCACCTGAAATTTGATCACATGACCGCAGAAGGGTCCAGCTGTTGGAATTTTGAATCTAGGTTGTTATCCCCTTTTTTGGGTTGGTCATAACTTGAGTGGTTGCTAGGGGATCAATCATGAATCTGTAAAGTGGAAAAACTCATTTGAACCACTTTTGTGGACTTTTAGAGTTGCAATGCTGTGATTGCTACGGCAGCCAATAATTATGTAATTATGTAATTTACTAGTGCTACTTACCTTCTCTCCACTGATAACACAGCAATTCTAATGAATCATTGCTGATTTCTGGCAATACAGTCTGTTTTTTATTATTTTGAAATATTAGGAGATTTGAAAGGGAACGGTTAGCTGCCCTCATCAACTTTGGTTTCTATTAATGTAATCTTTTGCAGCGAGATATTTTTGGAGGATACAGCCATCCCAGAATCTGGTTTCTATGGAGCCAGCCCAGACCCTCCGCTTCTGGAACGGACTCCCCCCAGATTTTAAGGCAATTGATGCTGCATACGAACGTGCCAACGACAGCCAGATCGTGTTCTTTATTGGTGAGTGTGTCAAGATGGAAATGGGAGGTGGCAGACTTATTTGGAAGGAGAGTCTATATACTAATGCAAAAGGAGGTTAAAATAGGAAAAACTAGCTTAAGATCAAGTTTTTAGAGGAAAATCTTAAAGGCTGACATCTTTCAATTAATCTGCAAGTCAGAATCCAGGAATGTATAAGTTATTCACTGCCAGACTCAACAAGCCAAGAACGATACATGGAGTTATTTCTGAGTTATTTCTTTATTGGGGGTTCCTTATTGCTCTCTGAGCTTTGTTATTTTCTTGCAGATGTTTCATTACCCAACTAGGTATCATCAGTGCTGGAAGGGAGTAAGTTTGCTCTGTTTATGTACACATGGCTAACACTGATGATGTTATATAGTTCGGTTATTAAATGTCTGCAAGAAAACAATCAAGCTCAGAAAGCACCAAAGACCCCAAAAATCAAACCTGAACTACAAATATTATCTTTTGTTGTGAAGTTCTTTATTGTTAGAATCTTGCCAGTCTAAAACAACTATTTGCATAAATGTATATTCTGTGAGGGAGGGTCTGTCTTTGAAAACATCTGTTTGAATGGAAGAGATGAATAAAATGCATGTGGTCCCAATAGAAGTTATTTATGGAATCGAATTCACATCTCTTTTACAGAATTAATTTCCTGCTTCTTCCTCCTTGCAGGGCCCTACTACTGGGTATTTTCTGACACTCAAGTCAATCAAGGTTATCCCCGTCCCACATCTGATCTGGGACTCCCTCCTGGCACCGTAGTTGGGGCTGTTTTTGTTTGGCCTCACAATGGTAAGACGTACCTCTTAGAGAAGGACCGCTATTGGCGCTACGATGATCAGCTGGGGCATGTGGAACCAGGGTATCCCAAACCTGTCACCCTCTGGAAAGGAGTCCCTTCTGATCTGGATGACATCACTCATTGGAATGATGGTATGTTCCAGTGGTGGGATTCAAATTTTTTTTACTACCGGTTCTGTGGGTGTGGCTTGGTGGCCATGGCATTCCCTCCCCACCCGACTAACCTGCTTTCCAGCTCCGTTCTCCTGTGTAGGGCAACAAAAGAAGACAAAGAGATCAGGTGGGACTCGGGAGGCAGAGAATAGATGGGGGGCGGGGCCTATCAGAGGTGGCATTTGCCAGTTCTACTCAAAATTTCTGCTACCAGTTCTCAAGAACTGGTCAGAACCTGCTGAATACCACCTCAGGTATGTTCTACTTTCTCAATTGCAGCAACTTTTAAGGTATGTGTGGACTTCAATTCCCAGAATTCCCCATCCAGTAACTTAAAAGTTGCTGAGGGTAAAAAACACCATGCTAAGGCCTACAATATTGTAGGGAGTCTCCAACAAACCAGTCCCAGACTTTAGTTTTTTTGCCCCCAATAATTATTAGTGATAAGCAATTGCAGAAATGTGCTGCACAGCTCCCACATATTGAATTATGCAGAATTTGGTACCAAGGAGAGGTAAGTCTCCAACTTACACCTATTTATTTAGTAACCATTCGAAGTTACAATAGCACTGAAAAAAGTGACTTATGACCATTTTTCATACTTATGATCGTTACTGCATTCCCCATGGTCATGTGATCAAAATTCAGCTGCTTGGCAACTGGCACCCATTATATTTATGACAGTCGCAGTGTCCTGGATCATGTGATCCCCTTTTGCGACCTTTTGATAACCAAAGTCAATGGAGAAGCCAGATTCTCTTAACAACCCTGTTGCTAACTTAACCACTGCAGTGATTCACTTAACAACTATGGCAAGAAAGGTCGTAAAATGGGACAAAATTCACTTAACAAATATCTTGCTTAGCAACAGCAATTTTGGGCTGATGGTGGTCATAAGTCAAGAACAACCTGCATTGAGCCTCTCAGCAGTGCCAAGAATGTCAGATACTGAAGCTCATCTTTGAAAATAAATTCACAGGGGGGGAAAAAACAGGCCATATTTAAATGAACATCCGGTTAACCAACTTCAACTGAATAGAAAAGAGATAGTAAACTAGAAAATCACAAGGGGGGGGGGCAACCTCCATGTCAAATGAACAAAATTCTACACCTGAGAATTCCTAAATTTAAACAATAAAACAAGTTTATTGTTAAACATCAAGGGACATTCAGAAATGGAACTGCAGGGCCCTATAGGCATTTTGCTTCTGTCCATTTGCCTTAAAAATACCACTGATGTGAGGAATTGTTCTATATTCCTATATCCTTCCTGTCCATGTTTTGGTTAAGTAATTCATGTTGCAGGTGAAATATTTTAAAGGATATTACCAAACTCCCCTAGGGTTATTTATCCATTCTCTTAAAATTCATTCAATTTTTTTAAAAAATCATCTACCAAGCTGAGAAAGTCTGCCTCTCTTTCTACTAAAATATGTATCTACTCCAAGTTAAAAGAGGTGAAAAAAATGGTCTCAAAAATAACCAAGGATGTTTAACATGACCCAGTATTCACAACCAAATCCTGATGCATTTATTCCCACAGTGAAGGAATTGAGCCAATTAATAATCCCAGGAAATTTAGTGGTCTATTCCAGATGTGCTCCTCCAAATTCAGGGACAAAAGGAACATCATATTATGCATTCCTTAATTCCTTCCTTCCTTCCTTCCTTCCTTCCTTCCTTCCTTCCTTCCTTCCTTCCTTCTTCTCTCCCTTGCAGGCCACACATACTTCTTCAAGGATACGCACTATTGGCGCTTTAAAGGTGGCAATGTGGAGGCCGATTCAACCCATCCACGCTCCATTCCCCGCGACCTGATGTTTTGCTCAGATTTTACCACCATCTCCCCCAGAGGACCAAGAACTGGGCAGAAAGGGGAGGATGGTTTATGCCTCTGTGGGGCAAGTGGACAAATCAAAAACTCCTTCTTAGCTTGGATCTTGATTCTGCTTTGGGTGATATGCTGATTGCTAGGTTAGCTACATGACTATGCACTTTACATTATAAAGAGGAGATGAAGCAGTGGGGAAAAACACGGTATTCCCCAGCAAAAGGTGAAAAGGGATATTTTCCTCTTTATTCTTTTGGTGCTCTCAGTATCCGATACTGACTTGGAATTCGTTCCCATGCTCAGTTTCTGAAAAAGAAGTGCTTAACCTTAAAACTAATTGGAAGTTCTGGACCCTAATTGTGAATGTGTGATAATATCATTTCTCAGGGGTGAAAGAAATGCATTCTGTGCATGCTCTGGGGTGCTGACCTTTCTGATCCTGTCCTATACCAGAAAGCTCAGATTTACACAAATTACGTGAGACCCTTTATGTTTTCCCTGATGGGAAGCAGATGAGTGTTTTTGTCAGAGTGCGCATAGTATGACTATGTGAGACAACCCAGGAGCAAATACAGTAAACAGAGGTTTGTATTTAAATAGTGGTTTTATCTACAAAGAATACATAGACATACTTTAGTCAGACCTCAAACAAACAGCAATCAGCAATTACAGCACCAAAGCACACATACAGGGAGATCCGCCCCAACAGGGCCTCTTCTTGTTACAGGTATCAGCCCAAACACCTTGCTGACTCATTCCCAATATTACATCATTGTAGCAGCTGGTCAGCTCTTAAATCATTACCTTTATAGTTTAGCTCAGAATTGGCTTCAGGATGTCACCAGAGGTGGGAGACCAGAAAGGACCCACCTTTTAGAAAAATAAGTCTAGTCCAGAAGCCTCCAAACTTGGCAACTTTAAGACTTGTGGACTTTCTCAGCAAGCAAAGGAATTCTGGGAGTTGAAGTCCACAAGTCTTAAACTTGCCAAGTTTGGGGATCCCTGGTCTAGCTTATGAATACATTATCAAATTTTCTCCAATAAATAAGAAGACTGTGAGAAAACCAGGGGGTGAGGATATATCTTGTGAAAGTATCTCATCCCTACAGATGTTTTCTTTGTTACATTGTGTTTTGGCAATTATGGTCTGTGCATATTTGACTTTGTGGGATAAACGCCATTTGGGACATCCCAGGATTGAAAAATCTTTCGTGCCAGAGCCGATTGTAAGAGAAGAGCCCAAGAATATTGGAGGAAGTTAATTTACCATGATTTAAAATATTCTTGTAGATGAGGGGAGGGAAGAGCAGATTAGCCAGGAAGAAATCAAATGTGCATCTCATTTTAATAATAAAACCCAGAAGAAAACCATCTTGACTTGTTTTTAAGGTGTCATTTTCTAAGACAAATCTAAACTATCGAAGGTAGCAAAATCAGTGTCTTGAGTTATGGGGCACAATTTGGTTCCTTGCTTTTGGCCCTGTAGGAATAAATGTGTGTGTGTGTCTACAGATATCTGGTTACCAATGTTCCTCAAACTTGGCCATTTTAAAATATGTAGATTGCAACTCCCAAAATTCCCAGCTGGCTGGGGAATTCTGGGAGTTGCAGTCCACATATCTTAAAAAAACCAAGGTTGAAAAATACTGGGTTAAACCACCTGGACCCCAGATCAGGCTTATATTCCATGGTCTTGTGATTTGACAGTTCTGCAATGGATAACCTAAGAATTATTTCCCTAAATCTTAAAGCTGGTTGTGTCCATGTAATTCTACCTGATTCTTTCTGCCTACCTAATCAGTACAGACACAAATCAAAAGGTAGCTAAAGTGAACTAATTCTAAAGCATGCCTAGTTGATCTGTTCTGCATATTTTGCCCAACTTGAAGAAGGAACGGAACAATCAAAATGTACTATCACATATTTCATAAAACACAACTCCCCCAATTGTTGCCCATCTACCTAATGAGAAAGACATTTGCTGGTCCTCATGGGATGCTAGGAAAGAGTGGGAGGGGTACTTTGCATTTCCAAACTAATGACTTTAGACCAAGGGAGAGGGTTTCATTAAGGCCAGGAATTGTTCAAAATATGTACTTGAAGAAATATTTCCTAATTTGGTGCACAAGAATTAAAATATGGGCTTCCACACAATTCAAGAAAACCTTGCAAAGGTTTGATGTAAATTGTGCAGAGTCCAGGAAGATGTCAACAGAAAATTGAATCATAACCTTGTGGGCTTATGGTAAGATCTTGTTAAATTCACTTCTAACTTCCTTCGTTTCAAAACAGCAGCTCTGAAATGTATTGGTACAGAAGATCAAAAGGTTTCTAAATACTCTTGCCACTCATCCATTATCTCTTTCCCAACCCCTCGTCCCTGCCTCTTAAGGGACGGAAAAATGGAGGCAGGCTGCCCTTATCTATCAAGAAAGAAGCCATTAAATGCGAAAGCCATTTTGCTTTTAATCCGGATGTAGAGAGAGCATTTAGAGCAGTGCCCCCACCAACTTTTTGGACACCAGGGACCAGTACCATGGAGATTTTTCTGTGGATTGGAGGGGCCATGGTTTTGCATGCTGCCTGCATCCCATAGATGGGGCTTTGCTTGTTTGTGCGGCCCAGTTGCTGGCATGCCATGGCCCAGTGCCTATCCATAGACCAGAGGTTGGAGACCCTCTGATTTAGAGGAAAATGTCATTGTACAAAGAATAAATCAAGGCATGGACTCTGCTTTTTAAAAAAGCAAGCCATCTCTTGATGCTACCAGAAACAATGGTGTTGCTGACTTTAGAGTCCTGGGCAGGCTAGAGAGACAAAAATTTGGAAAGAGCTGGGGTTCCCTGCAGAGAAGTGGGTCTCCATGTTTGAAAACCAGGGTCTTCTGAATTCTCAAAACAAATTCCAGCTCTTGTGCAGTTAGGATTTGCCTAAGCTGGGTAGGTTGGAGGTGGCGTGTAGTCACAGAGAGACTAACAGCTAAACTGGAGAAGTCAGCTGACCTCAACATACCAAGTTCTGGACCTATGAGAGATATTTGCAAGCACAGAGGCTCTGGTGGGGATTGAGCAGATGCAGAAGACCTACCTCATGAACCCAGGTGCTCCAAAGCACCCATGTGCCTTGGAAGATGAAGACCTACCCAGTTACAGGTAGTCGTCGACCTACGATCACAATTTAATCTAGAATTACAGCCATAAATCATTGCAGTCATAAGTAGACAACTAGAAATAACTTTCTGGCTCTTATCATGATTATTAAGCGAACACCGCAGTTGTTAAGTGGATGTCAGCCATTAAGTGAACCCCTAATGAACTTGAGTGGGTGTTTTTGCTGGAAACCGCCCCAAAACATCAAATCAGTCACATGATCATGGAATGCCATGACTGGTCATAAAGATGACTGTCCAATGTGCAGTCATGTGACCTTGGGATGGGGAGGGTACAATTTAAATGGCCAAGAGTGCTTTAGGGCCATAAAACACCTGTTCTGTCATAACTTCAAAACAATTACTCAAACAACCACTCATTAAGCAAGGACTTATCTGTGCCCTGAATATATCCGCATGACACTCTGAATCACAAATTACCACTACTATCTAGTGGTTTTGAAAAACCCCATCTTTGTGAGTAGTTTATGATTTAGTAAGTTGTATAAATCCTGGAAATCAACTTAGCAAACTCCAGTTAAATTAATGTGTTGTGCAAACCTACTACGGTATGTGTAAGCATACTACATTAGGCAACTAATGTAGCGTTACACTGTAAATGGGGAACAAAGAGCAATTTTATAAGAAAGGGAAAAAAACACACAGTCACTCAGAAATTACTATGGCAAAATTCTTCTCTTTGCCATCAAATCGACCAGAGGGTTGGGCAGTGTATATTAATTTAGTGATCTGAAATCTAAAATCTTCTCTTGGAGCCAGGAATTTGCAGCACCCAAGAAAGAAAGAAACAGAATGCAGCAAGGAGCACCCTCCTGCATTTCTACCATGCTGTAAGCAGCATGTTTTGAACTCCTGCAGAAGTATTCCCCAACTTCGACTCCAAAGTGGGAGCATTCCTGGATTACTCTCTTGTGTGTCATTTATTTCCCAGTGGTATCGATTTGTTCAAACCATTTTTCGTGGGCAAAAAAACCCTGCCACCATACTTTTTGTTTTTTTAAAATATAAATTTATTTGAATTTTAAATTAATTAATTCTACTTAGTTTCTAGCCCTCTCGTCTCTCAATCCCTCCCCTCCCCACCCCTCCCATTCCTTCCCTTAGAGATCTGGAGGTCCTGCCTCTCCATTTTTCGGCCCTTTTTGACTGGCTGTATTCTTCCGTTCCCAGACAAGGTGGGAATCCTGGCTTCCAAGTTGCATCCAGACCCAGAATCCCCTTCTCCCTTAGGAAGCAGCCGGAGTTGAAGGAGCTTGGTCACTGGGAGCAGCTGCTCCTGCTGCGTTTGCATCCATTTGGGGTGTACGCTTGCGTTTAAAGAATCCCAACTGGAGAGGTGATGGGGGGTGGGGGGTAGAGAAGAGAGAGAAACAGGTTTAAGATAAAGGAGAAATTGCTCAACAGTACTAAAATAATACCCCAATAATATGAGGATCTTCCAATCTCTTTCCTAAAATGTAAAAGTAGCTGCAAAGAGTACCTAATGGGAAATCTGTTTGTTGCATCTGTTTTATCCAACAGATTTCCTAGATCCTGAAAAAACCCAGAGCATACAATTTAGTGTGTTAATGCAGTGTTTTTCAATTTTGGGAACTTTAAGATTTGTGGATTTCAACTCTCAGAATTCCCCAGCCTTCCATGCATATCTAGCAGATCAGACACAACTCAAGAATCAAAGTGTGCAGGACAGATGAAGTTAATTTTCCTGGGGAATTCTGGGAGTTGAAGCCCACATATCTTAAAAGTTAACAAGGTTGAGAAACACCCTGCTAATGTATATGAATGTACAGGTAATTCTCGATTTATAACCATATTTGAGCCTGGCAATTATGGGCGTAAGTTGTGACAATCATATAGCAGGTCACCACATGACTGGATCCAATATTACAACCCTTTTTGTGGTTAAATGAACCCATTGTTCACTATGGGCTGATTTAAAACCATTGTAAATCATGGTCACATGACTACAGCGCCCTGCAAATGGCTGTAAATGTGGGCTAGTTGCCAAGCACCCAAAATGCAGTCACATAACTGTGGTAGGGGTAACATCAGAACTTCATAATTCAGGTCATAATTAGCTTTAGGAGAGTCTGTTATAATTTCAAATGGGCACTAAGTGATAAGTCATATGTCCTCTTTCGGTTCTTCCTGCCAGACCATATTCGAGCTAAAGGGGGCTGACATTTTCTGTCGTAGTATGTGAATTGTCAAAAAAATATCTCAGGGGATAATGATACGGTTGTATCTTACAGCATATAGAGAATACAGCCTGTGTACATATTTTATTTCTATCTGAAGTTCCCGCTAAAAGAAATCAGTTGCCCTACTTTGCAATCAGACAAAGGGAAAGCCTCCACTGAATCCGATCTAGGCTCTGGGGTTGATTTAAAGGAAAGATGGGAATAAGGTCCGTTAAGCCCAGATCTTAGCAAGACCCACGTCAAACTGATTGACAGCACAAACAACCAGCACAAACCTTATACAAGACAGCCACTATGATGGCTAAAAGCACGATGCCTCCAACAGTGCTGCCAATGATGATGGGGACAGGATTGAATGGCGAAATTAACTCAATTTCTGTGGTGATCTGAAAAGGAAAGCGATAGGAAGCCGAAGCCTATTCCCACAACTGGTTTCAATTCTAGGAACCCATTTACCCAGAAACCTGCTTGCTAGATTCAACTCTGCCCATGAGATAGCGTGAGAGGCTAGGAGAAATTACCCTTTGCTGCACACTCATTTTGTTATTCCTCTTTGGAGTAAACTTCCTTATACAATATGCTAAAAAAGGGGGAAGAACAATAGGCAAAAGAATTGTTAGATGTTCTGTGAACTTGGTTGTTTTCTTGTAGACACTTCATTACCCATCTGGGTAATGTCGTAAGTGCTAGAAGGCAGTGGGATTGTTCTAGCAATGATAATATTACCTAGTAGTTCAGTAATGGAACATCCACAAAGAAAACAGTCAAGCTCAGAGAGCTCCAGGGACCTCACAATTCAACCCTGATTTGCAAATGAAAGATATGAGATAAGAAAATGAAAGATGGATTAATCGAGTTTGCACAATACCATTCAGCACAACTCTCCATAACTCACTATCCTGTCTTGTCCTCTGTCCCTGAATCGCTTAATGCAGGGGTGTCAAACTGGATTTCTTCGAGGGACAGACCAGCATTGTAGTTCTCCTCCGCTGGCTGGCCTTGTGGGGGAGAGACAGGATGGACGCTTCCTCTAGCACCCTGCTGGCCAAAACGGGGTAAACGCCCCCCCCCATGCCCCATTTTCACCAGCAGAGGCACTGTGGGCCATCCTTTGTTATTCCCAGGCCGGCCCAGTGGGCCAGATTTCAGTACCCTGCAGGCTGGATCCGGCCCACAGACCTTGAGTTTGAACCCCTGGCTTAATGTGTTCTTTAAACCAGGCTTCCCCAATCTTTCTGACTTTGCATTTGGGGGGGGGGGAGAGAGGAGCCTCCCTGTGAGTGGTGGGCAAGTGCGTGTACACATGCAGCCCTATTTGTGTGAGTGGCGAGCATGTGTGTCCCTCACTCGTGCACATGCTCGCACAAGTTGGGATGCACGTGCACGTTTCCTACCACTTCTGTGGCCCAGTTCCGAAAGGCTCAACTCCCAGTAGTGGGCCACAGCCTGGGAGTTGGGGACCCCTGCTTTAAACTTCTCAATGCTTTCATTAGATTCGATCGATCGTGACCTTTTCAGTCTTTCCTTTCTTCTCAACTATTCATTCTTCCTTCATATGTTTTGTGCTTCGGTCTTCCTTCGTTCTCTCTCCATGATCGAATTACCTCAACGTACTTTTCTGCCAGTCCCTTGGCTTTGCATTCCGTTCACCTTCATTCAGCTCCCATTCATTCTTGACTCTCTTTCTTCATTCTCTGAAGTTCAGCTTATTATTGCATTTCTCTTGGCAAACCCAGCCCTCATTTCCAAATGGGCAGATACATGCTTTTTTTATGAGCAGCCATTTCTGTTCCTTTCCATAAAGAACTACTCATCACGGCAGACCGCTTATGATGGCAGGAAGCCAAGTCCATTAGCTTCCTGCCTGGTTCTTCTCTGTTGCTCTCCCCTCCCTTCCATTCCCCTGCGTTTCAAGTCTGTAACAACAAACCCACTCTGGGCATCTGATGGAAAGGTTTTGCCCTGAGAAAGTTGGTTAGTCTTAAAGATGCTACCAGCTTCCATGACTCACTTGCAGCACAGATTAAGAGAGCTCTCCTGAGGGCAGGACAGAAGCAATGAGTGGAAGCTTATTAAAGACCGATCCAATCTGGAACTAAGTAGAAACTTCCTTGACAGTAAGAACAATTAATCAATGGAACAGCTTGCTTCATGGAGTTATGGGTGCACCATCACTGGAGGTCTTCAAGAAAAGATTGGATAGATCTCAAAGGCTCCTTCTATCCCTATGATTCTATGACTCCTTCTTTGCATTTGCACTATTCCACCATTATCTCTTTAGTTAACCAATCCTGGCTGAATTACCTGGCTGAAATCCTCTCGTTCGTTCAGGAAAAATCTGGTCTCATCCACCCTTATGGATGCCTCGCTGCCAACATGGAATATTTCGGACTTCAGCTTTAGGAGTGATAAGCAAATGAAAGAGATCAATATAATTTGGTCAATGAAAGATCAATGAAAGGTCAGTAAAAGATGTCAACATAATATTGGTCTTGGAAGTGGGGTGCTCCTGAGCATGTGCAGAGTGACTGGCTTAGGCTTAGGAAACCTTTCCATGGAAGCCTCCCCGCCCTTCCGTTATTTCTTAATAATCAAATAACCAGGTTGGACTAGAAGACCTCCATGATCCCTTCCAGCCTATGATTTTATATATTTATATTTCTCTCCTTCCTTTTTGCTTAGCTCACCAATCAACTGACTAAAAAAGAGAATTCCTTTTCCTTATTTTCCACATATGAATCCCAGCTCAAACATGGAAGGTGGGTGTGATGGTTGTTGTAAGCATTTCTCTTATAGGAATCAAATCATGAATAGGAAATTCTTTAAAATGCTTTCTTTGCCCAAAGTATTTAATAAAAATATATCTTCTGAGCAGAACAATGTAAGAACAATGTAATAATAATTATCAGCCACTTACTTTGGAAGATTTATCTTCTCTGTAAAAATCTCCAGAAAAATTGAATCTAATCGATTCTCCTTTAACGAGACTGTTGATAAAGCAGTAAACTTTGGGGCAAGCCACAGCGCCCAGACAGCCTCTCTGTCAAAAGAAGAAAAGAGAATTGGTATTATAGAGTCAAATCTGGGACAGTCATCAGAACCAAAGGTTTAGTCTTCCAGGTTTTCAGAAATGTGCTGGAGGCCTTCCTCGGGGAACTTCTCTCTATCAAAATGTTTGTTTTGGACTATTCTATGCGTAGTATTTCTGTGGTGGTCTGGTTGTATGAGGCTTTGGCTCAGGGGTGGGTTTCAGCCGGTTTGGCTGAACCGAATATTAATTTTACATCTGGTTCGGCAAACCAGGAGTTCGGATGACTGGCTGCCCCCTCTCCCCTCCCAAGAGTCCTCAAGTGGCCAGTTTCAGATCGCAGGGAAGTTCAGGGAAGTGTGGAGCCTCAGGATGGGTGAAAAACGGGCCTTCCAGAGGCTCCAGAAGGCTGTAAACGGGCCTGTTTCCGGCCTCCAGAGAGCCTCCAGAGCCCGGGGAGGGCGAAAACGCCCCCCCCCCCATGGCCCATTTTTGCTCCCAGGATGGTGCAGGAGGCCAACTGGGCCACGCCCACCATGGCCACGCCCACCCAGCAACTAGGCAGAGAACTGGTTGTTAAATTATTTGAAGCCCACCCCTGCTTTGGCTCCTAAGTACCTGATAAGCTGGTGGAAAAATCAGCACTCCAGTTGAGTGACAAGGGACCTGTATTCCAGGTTTCAATCATTTCCCTGGCTGCTTTTGTACCTGCTCAGCCAACACTTTTAGCAGCTGCGAAACTGTATATCTTTGTTCAGTGCATACACACAACCAGGCATCACATAAATACCACACATAGAAAAGCCTGTAGCACACATTCTGAAAGAGAAAATCGTTCCCTGAGGATGGGCTCCAGCATGAGTCTGAAAGCTCGGAAGACTAAAGCTCTGATCCTAGTGACCGATCCTGACTGGATCCTACAATATTATCCTGCAACACGTATGTTTGACTTCATTCGTGAGAATTGGTATTGCCGCTTGCTATCACCATCTCAGACAAAAATACACCTCAGCTTTTCTTCTCATAAAAAGATATCGACCCAAAAGAAGGTGCATACAGGTAGTCCTTGACTTACATTTAGTGACTGTTCAAAATTAAAACTGCACTGAAAAGATAACTTACAACCAATCCTCACATTTATGACAGTCACACTTCCCTACGGACATAGGATCAAAATTCGGCCGCCTGGCAAACCAACATGCATTTATAATGGTTGCCGTCTCCATTTGCAACCTATCCAGCTGGTTTACAACAAATAAAGTCAATGAGAGAAGCTGGATTCACTTAAGGACTTAACAACTGCAGCGATTCCCTTAACAACCATGACAAAAAGAGTCACAGAATTGGACTTGACTTGCTTAAAAAACATCTTGCTTTGCAATGGAACTTCTGCTTTCAATTGTGATCATAAGTCAAGGACTTCCTATACCAGATTCTTACCGTGATGCGTTTTGTGACATTCTTCTTGCTGATTCCTGTTCTGAGGGTAAACAATGGTGTGCAGGAGAAGTGATTTTTCTAGGGAAAAAAACAAAAGTCATTTTGCACAAGTAGAACTTGTACCAAGTGATGATATGAAAGAAACAAGGGTATCACAAAACATTAATGTGAACAAGTTAATGGCCTGGAAAATAATAATCTGAAAAACAATAAATAGTTGTGATTAGCCCTTCTTTCTTGCATGCTGGGAAAAAGAGGTTCAAATGACTCTTACAGACTCTGCCTAAATTGAATTTACTAATAAATGTGTGCTACAGTTTGTTATTTCCAAAAATCTATATATTAGCCCATTATCCCTTTGACAATAACTCTAACTTATGAGATTCATCCCAATTCTTTCTGGATACAGGCAGTCCTCAACTAAACAGTTTGTTTAGTGACCATTTGAAGTTAAAACAACACTGAAAAAAGTGACTTATGACTGATTTTCACACTTATGACTGTTGCAGCATCCCCAGGGTCATGAGATCAAAATTCAGACGCTTGGCAATTGACTCATATTTATGACTTCTGACAAGCAAAGTCAATGGGGAAGCCAGATTCATTTAACAACCTTGCTACCAACTTAACAACTGCAATGATTTGCTTAACAATGGTGGCAAGGAAGGTTATAAAATGGAACAAAACAAACATCTTACTTAGCAATGGAGATTTTGGGCTCAGTTATGTCACAAGTCGTGAACTACCTGTTTTAGAAAAGTGACAGTAACCAATGTTTATTATTTTGACCAGGTCTGTCTTCTGTCCCTTCCACAACAACCAATCAGTTGTTCTGACCCAAATGAGCTTCCTACCCATTGAAACGCTCCTTCAAAGTATTTCTGCAAGTGTGGGCTTTCCCAAACTGGATGACATCATTCTCATTCAAGTGCTGTTTTAATCACACAAAAACAGACATGCATGCAATAACTTTGCTGCTGGTATCTACATACGTATATAAAAGCAAAATACCACTCACGCATCATCACAAAATCCCCAGGACCGTAAAGCCTGCAAACTTGATATTTGGCATGTATGTTCCTCTTGGCTTCTAGGTGCTCACCAAGAAAGGATTTTTCAAAATGACCATCAAAGCATCAGTATTTCCTATACCTTAACACGCTTTGATGCTAAGAAGTTTACTACTCCCCCTACCCACCTGAAAAGAAATCTGTTCCAAATGCAAAACACAAGCAGAAGAGAGGCGTTTCAGTTTCAATTTCATAGCACCAAGCAGCTTTAGTACAGAACAGTTGAGCTAAGCCATGCCCAGGCTCTTTGCTGTCTCCTTCTTGCTCACACAGCAAATACTATTTCTTTTTCCAAACAGCCCTCAACTCTCTTACACTCTGACAGGACGCTAGGCAGATGAATACCAATGGATGCTGGTAGGCAGAGGCACAATTTTTTCTCTTATTATTTTCCTCCCCAAAAACTAAGCCCGACCACATAGTTTTGTAGCAAAGCACAGGTATCAAGCTAGAATATAATACAGGTAGGCCTCAACTTACCACCACAGTGGGAATTAGAATTTCTACTGCTAAGCAAGGTGTTTTTTAAAGGAATCACACCTGATTTTACCATCTTTTTTGCCACAGCTGTTAAGCGAATCAAATAGTCCTTAAACAAATTTGGCTTCCCATATTCACTTTGCTCTGTCAGAAGCCACTTGAGAAGATTGCAAACAGTGATCACATGACCCAAAACACTGCAAACAATGTTAAGTACCTATCAATTGCCAAGAGGCTGAATTTTGATCCCATGACTGTGAGGAGGCTGCAATAGTGTAAGTGTGAACATTGTAAGTCACTTTTTTCAGAGCCATTTTAATTTTGAACAGTCATTAAACAAATGGCTGCTAGTTCAGGACTATCTGTACACTTCCAATACTTAAATCTTTACTGCAAGTTTCTTCCTCCAAACAAACATTATTCAAATCTTCTCTCTTGCAGGCACTCTATTCAATCAGGAGTCGTCTTCTTACCACATCACTGTAGGATGGTGTTATATTCCAAAAGAATCCCTGTTTTGTCTTCAAAGGAAGCTCAAAGGTTACATTGACTGCAGCGGCATTTGAGTCCAAATTCCTCACCTGCCAGAACAAAAAAGGAAATTGAATACATTTGGAAGAAATGGAATCAGGTAGAGAAGAAGATGTTGGCAATGTGAACATGTCAAGAGATTAAAAAGTGCAGGGACCAAACCAAACCAAAAATTGTAGAGTCAACCCATTGCTCCATTACTCCTGATAGGTTTCAATATGCTTGATATTCCTTCATATAGCTATTCAGTTTTTTCCTGAAATTCTCTGTTCACCAAAATAAAATGGACCACTCATAAAGACCCATAGAGCAGGGGTGTCAAACTCAAGGCCCGGGGGCCAGATCCAGGCCACGGGACCATCCTGGAAACAGCGAAGGACTGGCCCGCGGTGCCTCTGCCAGTGAAAATGGAGCTCAGGAGCGCTTAATGCAGCCCTCCTGAGCTCCTTTTTCACCGGCAGACCTCTGGAGGAAGCCATCACAGCCAAAAACAGAGCCTGGGAGGGGTGCCCCCCACACGAGTGAGGTCAATGTGACCACACCCACCCAGCCCCCTGAAGTCAGACACAACCCTGATGCGGCCCTCAATAAAAACGAGTTTGACATCCGTGGCATAGAGGGAATTATGGTAGGTATGTATGCAAAGAGAGATGGATAACTGGAATGGTGAATGGGTTGAGTAAAGGAGTACGTGCAGATTTATTTATTCACTTTTTAAACTGCATTTTTGAGCCACTCTAATCACATCGTTCTGGGTGGTAAACAATGAAGCAGAAACATGGTGGAAAAATAAGATCACAAAACAATATAAAAATACAAATAAATGCAGGTAGTACTTGAGTTGCAACCATAATGGAGACTGCCTATTAATGGCATAATTCCTAATGGTTCATAAAACAATTGGTCCCATGATTGACCTGATTTTATGACCTTTTTGGGGCAGTCATTAAGTGAATTCAGTGGTTGTAAAGCAAACATCACGGTACAGGTAATGCTGGGGTTGTTAAGCAAACCTGTTGTTTGCTATGAAGCAGATTTATTGAAAACTAGAAGAAAATGCCATTGTAAAATGTGGTCATGTGACTGCAGAATGCTGCAAACCGCTATAAATACAGCTGTGTTTCCACACCCTGAAGTGAAGTCCCATGACCATGGGGTTGGGAGGTGGCCGACCATCAGAACTTCAGATCCGGATCTCAAGTTCTCCTTTTTTGGGTTCGGTCGTAACTTCAGTGGCCACTAAACAACTGGTCATAAGTCAAGGGTTACCTCAACCTATACAGATGAATGCCCCAAATTAAATAGAGCTAAATGCACTAAAATAAGAAGTTTTAATATTCTTCTGGATGTGAGAACACAACTTGTTTGAAGCCTATTCCATAATATGGGGCCACCACAAAGAAGGCCTCCACTTCACCCAAGTCCCTCAAACTTCATGAGCAGGATGGACTCTCAGCAAGCCTGCCTGAGAAGACCAGAGTGGATGGAATCAATTTGGACAAGAAAGATATGGATTTAATTATTGTAAACCCACAGGGGTGGGGGTGGGGGAAGACAAATCCATTACCTCATAGCTATGTGTAAGTATTTTCTTCCCTGGATCCTGAGTAGAGAAGTTGAGATATGGAGTGGATTGAAACCTAGAGGGGAAAGGAGAAGCCTCCATTGGTATCATGAAAGAGGCAGAGTCTTACTTCTTCCCTTAACAACATCCCTGTGAAGTAGGCTGAGTTGAGAGAGCACAACTGGGCCCAAGCCATAGTAGGTTGTCTATAATATGAAGTCCCTGCTGATAATCCAGGACTACCCTGGTTTGCGATAGTGGTGAATATCTGTAGCTCAGGTGTAGGATGAGGGTGAAGGTTCATTCTCCGTGGGACAAACACCACGTCAATTAAAAGCCAAGATCCATGAACACCGACTGGCAGTCAATTACCATGATCCCAAACCCTTAATTTCTACCCATACCGACATCAAACAGCACCAGTTTGATTGGAGCAACACAAAAATCATCAGCCATGCTACCACCCGCCATGCTTGTGAGTTCAGTGAAGCCTGGCGCTCCACAAGCAATTCCTTCAACAGACACATTGACGCAATTCCTTCAACAGACACATTGACGCCCTTCCGGTTTGTCGGCTTCGCGAGCGGCAGGGATTCGCGAAGCTGCGCGATCCCTGCTGCGCTAGCTGCTTTTGGTGCTCCGATCCGGACGGGTCCGGAGCTAGGCTGCCCTGCAGGGGCAGCTGAAGATAGGGGGGATCCGGAGAGGGGTTTGGGGGTGTTGCAGACCCCCTCCCCGGCCAGCAGAACCCCCTTTTCCCAAGACGGTGCAGCGGCGGTCCGCAATGGCCGCCACAAAGAAGCTGGCAGCCGGGTAAGAATGCGCAGGAGGAAGTGGAGAAAGTTTTTGAAAAGAGAAAGTTTTTCTTGGTTCCCAGGACTCTAAGACATATTTAACAAAACTCCTGAAAATTATGACTTTCTGAATGATACCTTCTAGAAGAGGAAAAAAGCGGCAGTTTGGTGGTGCTGAAAGGAAAGTTTACTCTCCTTCCCGACGGAATTAATAAGTGGACATTGAGAAACCTGTTTTTTTCAGGTAAAACTAGCTTTATGGGATAAGTCGGAAGGGAGAGGACAAAAAAATATATTCATCTGGTTTGATTTTGTTGGAGGAGATGCCTTAAGGATTTGAAGACAGAAATAGAACTCCAATAAGGCTTCAAAATACAGATTTGGGCTTTCTTTTTTCTTTTGTCTGATACTACCCCTGGAAGAGAAAGGGAGAATTTTGTCTTGGCTTGGATTGATTGAGGATTGTGGATTTTGGGATTGTTTTACTTTTTTTTGAAATATCTTGGTTGGTGTAAGAAGAAAGAGGGAAAAAAGAAAAGAAAAGAAAAGATCTATAATGGCTTTTTCTTTTGAGGAACTGA